TACCTTCCTACACCCTAATTTCCAGCAAACACTTAAAGATTTGAAACATATGTAAAACCTTTTAAAAATAATTCTTAATCATCTGGATTGTTAGTAACACCACTTTGCATGTAGACCCAGGGTTTGATCTCAACAACTCTTGGCATAATCCCAAATTCTTGCATAGTGTTCATTTAATTTACCCTCAATCAGTTCTTTTGCCCACGGTTTTGCCCTTCTAACCTGTCCTATAGATACCACACATCTATACCTTTTTTGATGTCACTGATCATCTCCCTAAGTTTAACTTTGGGCTTATTTGCTATCTCAGTAACATAGTGTCTTCCATTCATCCGGGGTAACAATAGACCCAAATTTAAACACTCTAGAACAAAGATGCTCAGAATTTATTGCCTTAACCTGGAAGGTTCTGTCATTGCATCCAAGCTGCATAAAGTCTAAAAGGGCATTTATTATCTTCATCTCTTACCACATCTTGCAACAATTCTTCTATTGTCACTCTTTTGAAAGTATATTTGGTACCCTCCATTTACTACATAGTTTGTCACACAGAAATTCAGTTGTGCAGGTGATTCGAACACCGTCCCCTAACTTAGGTTCCATCTTATCTCACCTAACTTTGGATCATGTATTCTGTATTTGTTAGTTTCGTCCTACTTCTTCCTCTGCCTCCTCATCATTTTGCAAATCTTACCATGGTCCCTCAATCTTTCACCTCATCAGTCCTACTTGCATTTCTAATGTTCGCATCACAAAGTAGAATGTTAAGAAAATGATCCTTACATTTATCAAGCCTTGATACAAACTCCTGTCGTGGTTCATGATCCAGGTACATCCCATGCAGCTCAAAATCCATCTCATTTAACCCGGAAATGGCGCGAAATTCTAGCAAATGGGTCGTCGTAACCATCGTCTGAAGAACCCATTTCTAACCCCTGCATAATCGCAACCATTATCATGAAAAGTAAGCAATTAATGGAGATGATTTCTCGTAAAAACCATGATCAGACCCTAATTTCTTACCTCTTGAAAAACCCTAGCTTCAGACAATGGGAATGCTTCAACAGATGATTGTTAACGGAGGAGAAACGGAGGAGAGGGGCTTAACAAGTTACCGGTTTGCAAATGGGGATGTAACCGGTTTGTTTAAGGGGAAACGGTAAAAAAACATTAAAATGAAACATGAGGGGCAAATGGTAGGCATCTGTGGCAAAAAAAATCGATTTTGGACATAACCGATTTTTTTATATAAATTTGGGGGCTTTTATGACAAAAACCCTTTTTTCTGTTCTTACTCGTTGCAGGATCTTCAAAATAGAAATCAAATCCCCAATACAAGTTAGAGATGACGTAAACAAGTCACTTCACACACCAAACCAATTCCAATTATGCACTAAAAAAGAACATTTAAAGAAGTCATGCTCTATGGATTCCACATCACAGCCACACCAATTGCAAGACAACACGTTAATCATCCATGTTGATTTGGTTATCTATGCATTTCGTCTCTTTTTGTTTATTCGGACGATTCTTAAAGTGATGGTTTGTTATTGTTTTATCCCCTGACAAATAGAAAAACTTTTATAACCTTTCTGATTTTTAGAGCTTTTCTTTTTATTGTTTTGATTTTTTTAATAAGATTAATATAAATGTGCCTCGTCCATTCCCCACCCCTTTTAAACATGTATCACCCTCATCTTTTATTTAAGAACACCAAAAAAAACCTTCATTGTTCCTATTTGTTGTTGGGGCCGGTGACCTTCATTCTCTTTGCCACTAATGTCAGTGACCGTATCGGGATGTAAAAGCTTCGAAAAACATATAAAAAACTTTAAAAAGTAAACTTCGTTTGACGAAGTTTATCACTTGATGCCTCTTAACAAGAGGTAACTCTGAATCTATAACTCTATAAGATTCAAAGTGTTTGTTTGCCACTTTATAAATTATCTTAATACTAAAAACACATCTTACCAAATCTGACTTTAAAACTCATCTGAAAAAAGAAAAAAAAAGGCAAGCTCTCTCTCTCTCTCTCTCTCTCTCTCTCTCTCTCCGCCTTTACAATCGACTCTCCACTTCTCCACATCGTCTCTCTCCGGCCTTTTCTTTGGTCGCCGCCGGCATCCCCTGAAACTACCTCCGGACAGCACCATCCTCTAGCCCTTCACCACCTGCCCTGATTAAAACAAAATGCGACTTTTTTTCCTTTCTCCTTCGTCGACACATTGCCCCTTCTTCTCCCTCCCACCCATTCTCCTACTTCTCCGATCTGCAGGCGTCTGCTCTCTCCGCCACCGGTCATCTAATTTCTTTGTAACATTTTTATTGAAAGTGTGAATTGATGGTGAGGTTTTTCGGTTACCATTTGATCCGAAGCAAATTGCAAGTGTGAATTACATCTAATTTCTTTTTATGTGATTATTTAATTTGATGTATGTGTAGCTTCCATTTTTCTTAATCTGTGAAATAGTGAATTTGATTGCAATTAAGATAGAAACATTAAAGCAAATGTGGTGCTTACATATCAGATATGCATCAAACAAGTCTATCGTGACACCTTCAATGGTGAGTTCCTTTCATCCTAGTATTTTATGAATGGTTTAACTGTTGTTTAATGAATTGTGCTTTGGTCCGGTTTGCAATTAGCCCTTGTTCTTCTCATTGTTAATTGCAATTTTTGTTGTGTTGGGGCTGCCATAATTCGATACTATTAATAGTTTAAACTTTAAAGCTTATTGATTTTGTGTGTCTCATTATTTATTATCAGGTTTCTCTTTGTAAAACAGGTTGGCATAGTGAATAAAGAGCATTTCAAGATTCATGATTTTTAATTAGTATGCTTGTTTTCCATCGTTATTGTGATTTGTGTTTTATGTTGTGCCAACTAACAATGGATCCTTTTAAATTTAGGTTAGAGATGATTAAAATTTATGTGGAATTGTTTATATATATATATATATATATACAATTGTTTATATATATACAGAAAATTTAAAATGTAAAGTGTTTTGGTTTTTGAAATGAAATAGATTTAAGCATGTAAATTAGCTACGTATTGTTCAAGTATCCCAATTCAAACTTCTACATTTAGCTTTGTCATAGCATTGTACTTCCTATTTCTACCCAATTAGAATAATTGGTTATAGTTTTAAAGTACGATGTTTTAATAAGATAAATGTTGAAAGTATAATGTTGTAACGGGAAGAAGTGATACAGAAGGATAAAATTATTATTTTAATCATTCAACACAATAATTCAGAGATTCAACCAAATAGCATATTAAAAATTCAAACTCTTTTTGAAATTCATACATTTTAAAAATTCCTAAAGAGCCCATCATCTTCCAACTCTTGCTCTACCACTAAGGCTGTGTTTGATAAGTGTCTGACCGAGTCGAGTCAGACAATTTTGGCTGACTTGGTCAGCTGAAGGCGTTTGATAATTCAATTTCGGGTGTCTTTCTCGGAAAGAAACGTCTGAGTGGGTTAGAAGATAAAAACTTGCTGAGTGAGAAAGGCATATGCGGTTTCCAAAATTACCCTTGTGACCTAACGTTCCCATTCTTTCTTCTCTTCCAGCAGCGCCTCCATTCTTTCTTCTTCTTTCAGCGCCTCATTCTTTCTTTCTTTCTTCTTCTTTCAGCGTCGGCAGAAACCTCTTCCTCTCCTACCGATTGAATCGTCCTTCATCTTCTCTCATCAGGTAAGCTTCTATCTTTTTCCTCCTAATCACTTCCTTTGTTCTTTCTTCTTATTTGCTGAAACAATTGTTGTTCTGTTGCTGTTATGTTGTTATAATCTTGTTTTATAACTGAATATTGTTGTTATGTTGCTGTTATGTTGTTGTGATGTTGTTGTTTGTTGTGATGTTGTTTGCTGTTTTGTTGTTGTTTGAAGTTCCGATTTTTATTGTTATGTTCCAATTCAATTCCGATTTTTGATGTTATGTTCTTGCTTGCTGTTTGATTTTTTAACATTTATGTTTTGTTTCTGAGATGAAGAAGATGAAGAACCCGCAAATTGATGAAGAAAATCTGGATGTGTGTATACTTAATTTAGACCGATTAGATAATTTGAGAGGTGAATTGAATTGGGGTTTTGATGAAATGAGAAGTTGGAGTCTGAAATTGCTGGGAGTCAAGAAATGTGAAGCCATTACTGAAAGTCAAACTCTTAACAAAGAAGATACAATTTTTTTTTTCTGGGCCTTTAATGAAATGTGAATATTAGTTTGAGGGTGTGGACATGAATTTGACAATTGGCACAATTTTAATATTGCAATTCATCACAGTTCATATTTCATGTGAATTTTAGATTTTGTGTTTAAATTCCGAGTTTATATATTCCAATGATTATTAGTTTACTTACCTTGGTAATTTTTAATGTTTTTGCATCATAAATTGTAGTAGAAAGCTTATTTTTGTCAAAGTTTAATCCTCTGTGTAAAGCAATTTCATCTATCATTGTATAAAACATCAGGGGTAAAATGGTCATTTTGCATCGGTCAACACATTCAGTCAGATGTACAATCAAACAACATGGTTTCTTACTTGGTCAGAACTTATTACTCAAACAGACATTTCCCAGTACTTTTTCAATCAACAACTATCAAACGGGACCTAAGACAACTTGGAATCCTACCAAAAGACACAAAAATCCTGCTAAAAGAACTTCGAGTCTTTCTCTCCCTCTTTCTCGTTGTTAAAAAAGAAAAAGACGTTGCAATAGTCACATCAATCTGCCCCATTTCCAGGTTTAATTTGACGTTTGATTTCAGATTTGGTTTTGGTGTCATTGTATTTGGATCAAGGTGGGATGAGATTAGTGAGTCCCAATAAAAATATAAAACAAATAATAAAAACTGAAAAAAAACACAATCATTTTTAATAAGCTAAATATGGTCATTACATGTCACACATGACGAAACCAAAAAAAAAATAATACCACCCATCCGAATGAAAAATAATAATAATAATAATAATAATAAAAATAAAATAAAATACCACACATCCTAAACCACGGGGAGGATCCATGCAATTTCCTGATCTTCGTTATTTTATTTATCTACATCAAACAACGGATACCCATATAAAGTTTATCATATTAACTTTTAACCTGGGATGTATGTTTAGCATTTTATAGCAACAAAAAAACAAAAACAAATGCAACTAAGGTCAGTTTGGTTGATATGCTTAGCATTTTATATAATGTGAAACTCTGCATTTCATCATCAGAAAAATCAAACTTCTTTTTGTCAAATTTTCATTCTTTCTTTGATTCCGGTATACAAAAAGAAATCATAATCTGCAACTCTAAATCTGGATATTCATAGGCACAAAAATACAGTCTTCAAATACATTTAACTATTTCCGGGTTCTACCAACTACCAAAGATTTGCTTCAAAATTATAAGTTTTTAATTCAACCTTGCCTCCATTTTGTTGATGGCTTTCTCTATTGCAGGTACATTCTTGCTGAAAGTTGACCACTGCTCAGCAGTCAAACTGATACCTATGAACAACAAGGTGAAGCTCTCAATTCAATGAACAACAAACAGATCACAGCAGAAAAAATATGGTAAGATGGATCATGTATGTTAATACCTTTAGAACTAGGAAGCTCTTTGCCATCTTTTTTGTAGTACTCCCTTATAGACACCAAATGTTTTCCTTTGAATTCAGTAAGAGTCACCCTTCTTTTATCTGACAGCTGCAATATAAAATATTATACTCAACATAGTTACAGCATTTGCATTTCCCCCAAAATTTATGTTATACCATTACTAGCTGTCTAATTCATGAGTAACTCAACTGGATTTTGTGTTCTTTTCTTTCTCTTACTTATTAATGAACTACACTGAAAACTTTTTTGATTTATCCAGATAATTCAAATTTTTAGGGTTGTGTGTAACTGAAGGGTAACCAAATTGAGCAGTTTCTAAGTTTTACTTAATTTAAGGAAGAACTTGGTGAGCATAACCAGGTGGATTTGATGATATTATCAAAAACAAGTGTAAGTACATTATGGACCAACAAAGTTACCATCGTATAGATGTTAGGGTTTTTGTTGAAATCAGATTAGGATTTAAGTTCCAAACAGTTAACGCCAGAAAATTTTGAAATTAATCAGAAATATTTGACGTGAAGCAGATAAAAATACATTTTATCCCCAAATTTCAAAATTGGCGGTGTTTAAGAAACCAAATTAGGGTTTCAAACAGTAAGAAAAAATTCTCAAACAAACTTACTCTGCAGAAGATAAGATCTCCTTCTTCGTCGTATTCCTTATCGCCTTTCTTCCTCTTCTTCTTTTCATCCTCGCTATCTTCTTCTTCTTCCTCCTCTTCCTCTGGTTCATCTGCTTCGACCGCCTTATCACCAGCCTCTGCTTTCGCCTGTTGTTCCTCAAGGTACGTCTGGACGACATTTCGAACGAGCTTCTTCCGTTCAGACACCGATAAATCCATTCCGAGCTTCTCGGAAGCTGCTTTCCGAACTTGGAATTCCGTCGTAGAATCCATATCTGAATCCTTCAGCACCTCCAGCACCGTTTCCTCAATCTTCTTTGCCATTTCGGAATCCATAATTGAATTTTAAGATGACTTTTCCGTTTGTTGCCTCTCTGAAACAAACAGCAACCGATCAAACACTCGTCTTCTAGCACTAATCTGGGAAATGTCCGAGGATACTTCCAGAAGGTATTTCAAGTATTTGAAAGTTGAAATCAGACATGAAAATATAAATTGGCCTCAACCATTACCATTGCTATAGATTCTGGGCTTACACTTTGGCCCATTTTATGTACAGTTTACTAAAAATCGTCCATTAATAATCAGATACGTAAACTGATTCTTAACAAAATAAAATTGAAACATCTTGCAAATTACTACAGTATCACAGATTTTTAGTAATAATAATCGATAAAGAAATCTATCAATATCTAGCAAATGAGTGTTACTGCACAAAATGGCAAATATTTAAAGAATTTTGTACGAAAATGATACATTTATTTGGGCGAAACGTACTAAATAGCAATTTTACCTCCTATGATATTTAAGTAACTTATTTTGTTAATCTATCCCTAATAGAAACTAATCTATAATTTGTCCACAAATAAGAATATGCAACTTGAAATTTGGTTACGGATTATCGTTTGCAGAGTTATTGAGTTGAATGCTTATGTAGCATATGACATTTTATTGGTAAAATTTAATACCGTGTGGTAAAATGATAAATAAGATTATTTTGATTCGTTTATTTTTTTCTCAAAATATAATATTATCTACTAAAACTTATTTAGTTGTATGATATATATCTTCCACTTGAATGTTGAATATGTTTTTTTAAACTCTTCTTCATTCTTATATTTTAAAAATCATATTAAAAATTTCTTTGGCCATAAAGGCATTGATTTGTGTTCAATCAGTGGCGAATCTAGAACCCAAAACCACGTGGTTCCTTAAGTAAGTGAAACAGAAAAAAGTAAGAGAGTAAATAATACTAGTGGCGGGCTAGTGCCTGGCGGAGGAGCGGTGTTGGGCCGGTAGTGATGGTCGGACGGCGAATGACAGATGGGTGGAAGCGATCATCAGGATGACATATTTCAAGCATTTTTTTGCTATTTTATCCTTTTTTGTTTAATTTTAAATGGAGTGGATTATTGTCTAATTATTACATTGTAAATGGATCGAAGCATTGAGTTATTTTAATTGGATTGAAATATAAAATATAGGGTTTATACACTTTGATCCATTTTTCATTTTAGCAAATTTTATAAGGTAGATCATTGAAAATTTATTAGGTAGTTCCTCCTTTTTTATGCACAATTTATACTATTTAAAAAAAAATAGGTGGGTCCTAGGACCCACCTTCACAAAGCATAGATTCGCCCCTGTGTTCAACTAGAAAGGGACTATAACTGTCAACAAGGCTTTTTTATTTGGTTTTGCTTAAACGGTCATCTATCAAAATCTCACATCTTGTTAGATTGCCCGACCTTTTTTAGAATGAGATCAAATGTTACAAGGTCTTTGTAACCGGATTCAACTTAGGCCTGATTCGAATTAGTTGACCCTTTGTGCATCTCTAACTCGATGTAACACAAACTATTTTGATAGAACTCCTAAAAGGTTCTCTAATGTTTATTAGTTGTTATTACAAATTATATTTGTACCTTCTAAATTGTTGCGTTTTTTGAAATGATCAACATGCTCTTGGACCAAATATGAATAATACAATAGAATTCAGGTCTCCATCGCCATAGATATAGTAGGCCTCTCATCGCCATCACATGTCTCCTCTTTGTGCAAACCATATAGCGGCCACACCAAGTCTGCAACCCATGTGTAATGATTATGTGTTTTTTTTTTCAATTCTTGTTTTTTGGTTTTAGATTTAGGATTTGTTCTATTTTTGCTTGGTTCTTTTTTTCAATTCTTATTGTTGAGTTTTAGATTTAGGGTTTCTTCTATTTTAGAAATAGGTATTATTTTTTTTGGTGGGGTGAGGGGTTGTTTTGGGGAGGAGGAGGTTAGCTTTTTATTTTAAAACCCCTAAAAAAATTTATTCTATTTTGTGTGATGAGGATTTCATCTCCTCTTCACCCCAACCCCTAAATTTTCAACTTAGGTTTTATTAAGAAAAAACGACAATCTCTGCCTTTGGTTTGGGTTTCTTCAATTAGATTAAAGCTTGTGATGAAGAATGTGATGTTAGTATTTCGATTAGATGAAGGTGATGTCAAATAATCCAAATTTAGTTTCAACATAGATTTGATTTTCTGTTGTTTTTGTTGTAAAATAAGTAAATCAAAAGGAATGACCTAATATGGTAATATAGTTATCGTTTTGTACAAAACGTTTAGTTCTTATTGTTTTTTTGTAAAATAAGCCCTTGAACGTATTATTTTTGTACATATTCAGCCCTTATGACCGATTATTCCAGGTTAGGTTCTCAGTTTGTACATATTTAGTCCTTAATGTTATTTTTTGCAAAATAAGTCATTGTTGTTTTTGTATACATTTAGTCATTATGATAAGTTTTCTTCAGGTTTTGCTCACATGGCATCGTATGTGGGACAATCACTAATGAGGTGTTCTCATATGTGACTCGTCTGGGATGTGGAATCATGTGTTTATTGTCTTCGTATTGGTAATAACATTGTAGTTTTGATATTAGTAATTATTATAGTACAATATCAACTATATTTAATATCAATACAAACTTCATTCAATATCAATACCAACTACATTACATTATGTGAAGAAAATACATTATTCATAATGATTTAAATTGTTGGAAATAATGTACACGTTCATAACAATTTGTAATGTTATTATTAATAACAGAGTCCTTTTGCGTTACACACAATGACAAATTTAAGCAATCGTTGACATGAGAGTGATCAAAATTGTTAGTTTATTAGTGATTAACAAATTAATAGAAGTTTGTGACGCGTCTCCTTACTCCTCGCGACAAAATCTTAATCGTTCTAGGGTTTTTAGTATTTTGCGATTCAAGATGGTTGAGACAGCCCCCTCTTTAACAGCCGCAAACTCTTCTTTAAAATTCAGGGTCAACTTGAAAAGAACAAAAAACTATTTGCTGAAAAATTGTCAAAATCGACATACCAAGGAATTAAGGAAGACACGAAACTTTTTTTAAAGGTGTTATTTGTCTTGGAAGTGCAAATTCGAGTTGGGAGAAAACAATCATAAAGAACACATTATTAATGAGTGTGCCATGTAGGATGTCATATGAGCAAAACCTAAAGAAAACCGGTCATAATGACTGAATGTATGCAAAACAAAAAAAATATTAAGGACTACATGTGTACAAACTAAGAACTTAACCTGAAGTAACCGGTCATAAGTATTGAATATATACAAAACAATAAGTTAAAAACTTATTTTACAAGAAAAAAATCAATAAGGACTAAACATATACAAAACGAAAACTATGCCCGGCTAGTTTTTCATAAATCAAAATTGCATTATCAAAAATTAGAGACATGACAAAGGTAAGAGGTGAGGATGGATTAGAAACTTAATAAAATTAAATAAATAAACAAGAAATTATAAAAAAAATTCATTTTACATACTTGACGGTTTGTTATTAACAATATTAATCAAAAAGGCTAAAGATGCAACAAAATAAAACAACAAGGACTTAGTTGTCTTCACCATTCAATAGTTTTGTCAAACAAGATGGACCTAATTTTGTCTACAAATACAACATATTTTAGGTCATTTCTCATTGTTGTCCCATACAGGCTTTACATATTGTGATATTGGCATCATTCATTTCAGATATACACATATATGATAACAATCTCGAATTGATATCGTAGCCCTAACCCATTGAATTGAAAACAACTTGTTTGAAGATCTTCTCTTCTCTTCATCTCTTAAATTTCTTTGGCCCTTGTTTCTTGTCGCTGCAAGGATTTATGGGTGACAAAACTCAAAACTATCATCAGTTGGATAAATAAAGTAAAGAAGGTGCTACTGCGGTTTGACTGAAGTCAAAACTCGCTACTATAAACTTCAAAAGTTAACTACATTGAAGTTTTGTAAATTGTAGTCCGAACCCAAAACTTGTTTGTGTTATATTTCCAATAAGATTCGTTGAAATAGTTAATCTGAGATTATCATGCTTGAAAAAGAAGCTAAGTTGATAAATGATAAATCTACAGCTACCTTGATTGAGTTTCTTCAGTGGCTGCGGAGGAGGAGGTGGTGGTGGTGGCTGAAATTCTTGGGACGCTCCCAAAGCCAGCAACTTCATCCATGCTCTGGCCTTGGCGGCGGTAGCGACCACCGGTGGCCACAAAATCAGGGCAAGGCCTGTAAGCCTTTATAGGCCACCAACCAAACCCTGGTACGGTTGCAATTCCACCTTGAATCCTTCCTTCACCATTGCATCCCCACCCTATCTCTGCTTTCCCACATGCCTTACAACCTCTACAACGCAATTCAAAATTAAATTTCTTAGACATTAAATTCATATGAAATTATATATGAAAAATACCCTGATTGGTTAGTAAGGATGTCAGATGAGCTACTTTCCTCTTCTTCTTGTTTATCGACAGTGGAACTGGAAGTTGAGGAGGAAGCTCGGCCTCGGAGGAGTATAAATGGAGATTGGGCCCGCGAACTTTTAGAACCAAAAGAGGAAATAGAAATTGGGTGTTGATGGGGAGTTATCGGAGCGGAGAAAAGGGTTGTAGCAGCCATTTTCGGTCTCTCGCTCTCTCTCTCCGCCGTGAAAATTGGGAGTTGAGGCCAAGTCGAAGGGAACCGTATCTTGAATCTTAATGTGAGGTTGAGAAGAAGCGATTTAATTTTTATTTTCTTTCAAAAGCAGATAATATTATTTGGCCTAGGTTTTTTTTTTTTTTTTGTCTTTCTTTAAAAAATAATAATAATAATGATGTGTATTATTCATTAGTCATTAACAAAGGATCTGTAAGGTGATTAAGCTGAATCACTAAAATGCATTTACCCATCGAAAACAAAAGAAAAAAAAACAAAGAAAAAAGTTTCATATAGGATCTGATGATCGAATCCAAAGTAAAACAAACATATATATCCTTGAATCCTAATTAAAACAACTCTGTACCATTTTTCCCTAAACTCATATAAAAAGAAACTCTTGCTTCCTTGGTTGCTTGTAAGTAAGGTGTGTTGTCAGGGGGGCAGCATGAGCATCATAGGTTGTGGTTGATCTGCAGCAGCATTAGCAAGCATGAGAGAGGTATGATGATGAACCATGTACCACTGGCCATTATGAAGCTCAAACACATTTGTCACATTCAGAGGCCTCTGCTCCATTCCTACATAAGCTTTCATTGTCACCCAAGCCACGTCACTCAGCACCCTTGACCTCACATCCCTCACCTCAAAATCAATCCCTGCTTCCCCCCCTTCCCCTGCTTCCGCTTCCCAGTTAAATGCCAGCTGCCAGCTCCCTATCACCCCATTATACCTGTGCGTAATCATATCTTTTGTTAATAATAATTATATAATGAGAATGAGAATAATAATAAAAAATTCATAGCTGAGCTGACCCACCCGGTAAAGAGCTCCCCTGAGGCATGAATACATTTCACATAATCTGCATTAAGCCAAAGCCGACCCATGTCTGGAACAGATCTTTCTCGAATCATCTCAAAAAATTGTTGATTTATATTCACAATTGCTCTCGTAGCTGCGTAGTACGCCTTCCACCCGTTTGCAGGTGTTACACTATCTTGTTCCATTGTAAAATCCTGCCAACAATACATACATCCCATTAACATTAACAATTAACAATTAACATCTACATCTCACTCAATCAATCAATTTCAACATAAACCAAAACAGGAATCAACATAACTTTTTCTAACATCTTTATTCTTTAATTAACACATCACGTAACCACCACATCACCATTGTTCCAAAATGAAATCCATATATATTATTTAAAAGCAATCTTAACTTCCATACTTCACACCTCACTTTACAAACAAATCTCATACCATACATTTCCATCTCTCAACACTTTTAATTAATTCAAAACCTACACAACTTCTCTACACTTCTAGGAACATATTATATGTCTCCCAAATTATATTTGAAGCCACAAAACGCAAACGCATTTCCTATATGTATAAGAAATCAGTAAGGATCATCTTCTACAAACAGTGGATCCTCATAATTAATATATTAAAATCAAGTTCCTTTATCGAGTAGATATCCATATCAAAGTAAGCACCAACAAATTGAAATAGTAATCTGGGGAAACATGACTTCCATTTTCAGAAGATAAAAAATCGGATTATGATATTAGACATACTTGTACAGTTTCAGCAAAACAATCTCTATTCTCGTCTCGCAATCAAATACCTGTAATTTTCTTTCAGGTCGATATTTTCATGGATCCAAAAGACCAATTTGTCGGAGAGAAGTCTAAAAAAAAAAACTCTAGATAGGAGGGAGGTATGTGTAATTATGAATACAGGACACATAGCTACAAATACCATATGTGTCCTGTCCATTAACTTAGAGAGTTAGGGCAACGGTTTCCACGTGTCAAATACACTCTATTTTTTCACTGTCTATTCAAACAATTGTGCTTATCATACGTTACACTTTTTGTTGCATATTTATTGCTTCATCTTATACAGCTGCAAACTGTATGGACCTTCAATTATACATTCAAATTGATTGCCTTGTTGTTAATGGCTGCATACTTGGCAAACATGATAAATAAATCAACATAAAACTAGCTATATATAGTCTCACCAAAGCCAGTATAAAAATTTCAAACTATTTTCAGCACAATATCAAAACCCTAGCTCAGTTTTGAGTGTCCATTATACCCTTTGATGATTCCAAAGCTTTAGCCGTGGTACCATACTTGACAGTTGACACTCAATTGCATAATTAGATGCAGGACAACAACAAATTTTTAGTCAAAAAGCAGACCAGAAACCTAACCGAAAACATATATTATCCAAATTCAATTCGATAACGACAAATGATGACATCGCACAAAGTTTCTAATTATAAGAGGACAGGAATCCAAATCACACAATAGCATAAATGTCTGTCCTTTCCCCTAGAATTAGGCTAATATTTGCAATAGCATACAAATGGCAACCAATTGCACCAAAGATCCTCAGCTATGCAAGGGTTTGGGATAGGCAGTCTTTTCCCTTGCCTTTTGAAAATAGGCTGTTATTGTAACTCAAACCCAAGAATAAAGAAAGTTTCACATAACATGCAGCAAACTATTAAGCAGATTATACGAAATACAAAGTAATTTTGGGAAAAGACTGAAAGGATAATAACCTTATGATAAAGGGCCTTCCAAGCATTATCATCATTAGCAGCCCTCCGCATGGAAGAATTGGTCATTGACAGCCTACAGAGACTAGGATAATCCAAGTAACTCAAAGCATGTGTGGTGATTTCCGGAACTAACTGTTCCATCATTGACGCACCTATCATCTGTTGCCGCTCCCTCTCCACCATCACCACCTGTCCTCCACCGCCTCCACCATTCATCATCCTCGCCGTCGCCGTAACAGCCATAGAATCAGTAGCTCCAACAAACCCCTTAGAATTAGAACATGCACAATTACAAGCCTTGGTTTTATCCGATTGTGAGAATTTGAGCAATCGGAAGGGTAGGAGTGAGACGAAACAACAGACTAGAGTCACGATTAGGGCTAAGAAGAGAGAAACAAAGGGAAAATCGCCGTTACCGGAGAAAGGAAAGGACATCTCCATTGACGATATTCATAACACATGAAAACTTCAGCAAACATAAACCCTAGAGTGAGATAGAACTCCTTGTAAGGCGATGATATCACACGACCTCTTCTTCTTTTCTGAAAAAACCTAACGTTCCGGTGGCATGAGGTGCCAGCAAGCCGCCCTGAAGAAGAAAGGGAGATTTTAGAAAGGGAGAAGAGACGGAGGTTTAGAGAGAGAAAGGGCCGGTGAAGACGACCTGTAACTGACGACGAGAGTATGAGTAACGCTGGTTAGTCATGGTACTGTCTATGTTGGATGCCGTCAATGGTTCCGTTAAGAAATTCACACAACTTTGAAGGGTGATTTTGTCTTTTGCAAAAATCAACATGTATTATAAGAAAGTCAAACACGCCATATTCTCCATGTATATTTGGTTTAAAATAGTTAAAGAATAAAATAAGTAATTACAATAAAGGCATTTGTGATGTTTAATTTTAGGCTTGAGGGAGTTGTTTATGCCACAAAGGTTGCTACCTCGAGCCACCCTCGACAAACATCGTCTCATGGTTTGTGCCAAGGGGCTCATTGGGAGTATAGCGATAAGAGAGAAAAAGATTTGGTGGTTGGGAGGTGGCCGGATTTTGACTTTTTCATTTAGACCTTTTGGTATACCGGCCACGAGCCGGTTCGTGGTCTACGTGGCCACGATAGTGTTCCGTGCACACCACCCCGGGTTCTCGTGGTCGGTCGTGTTCGTTGAGACTCGTGTTCGGGAGGACGATGGAGAACGGCGAATGGGAGAAGAGGAAAAGAAGTAGTCGTTGAACGGCTACTACTTTTAAACAATTTCTATTTTTACCTATAAATACCACATTTTTACACTCATTATTTACACCATTTTTTCTTTCTTTATACACAACAATTTTATATCAATCAAAAATGGATCCAAACCGAAACAGAGGAGGGAGAGAATGGCTCTGTGCGATTTTACGAGAGATAAGGCGATCCAGAGGAGAGAGTGCAGAAGCGGGGTATTCAAAATTGTAGAATTTTAGAATTTTAGACGATCCCTCTTTAAAAACGCGTGTTTAGTTAAAAAAATATATATAAAGCGGCATTTGTAGATGACACACACTTATAATAAGCGCCCTCCGTGTTTTTAATTTTGTTTTGTTTGACACTAATTTTAGGGCACGCACAAATGCGTGTCCTCTATCCTTCAAATTTTGGAAAACTGACATTAATTTTTAGGGCACGCACAAATGTGCGTCCTCTATCAGTGTGTGTCATTAATTGCGCGTCGCAAAAGGCTGTTTTTCTAGTAGTGGCTTATACTTATAAGACTCAAGATTATGGGACCAAAGAACATGAAAATCAAGAATCTAAAGGGATCTAACATATTGACCAACAAGATTCAAGCTTTATACCTCCTGGTAGATGTTGAAGAAGAGTAGAGTCTGGATCTACAAGCCTTGGACTCCCCAAGCACACCTTTAATGACCTCCTTCTTCACAAAACACACAAGGAAACACTTACATGCTTCAAAATCATCCCAAGATGGCTAGGTTTTCGAGTTAGGTGCTCAAGAGGGTAGAGGTTGGTGATAAGAAGGATATCAAGGGGTTAGAGTCCTTAAATAGGGCTCAAACCCCAGAATTAGGGTTTTTACTATGCGCACTTAAGCCCTGCGTAACATAAGCTACACCCCACATAGCTGAATAAAATTGTGTCCCTCAGCAAGCACTACGCCCCTGAGTACTTAGAGTGCGCCCTGCGTAGTGCAAAACTTCTATCTTTAAGCTCAACTTCAAACAACCATAACTTCTTCGTTCCACCTCCGTTTTCGGCGTTCTTCATATGCACGAAAAGGTATTGAAGAGCCCCATAATCCTATCTAGTTACTTTTGTCTTATCACATACCGAACTAAAACCATAATCCATTCAAGAAGCCCGATCTATAAGTTTTCCCTTTCTACCCTTTGGTTCCATCACACAAATCAAGGGATTATATCTCACAACCAGCATTATCAACCTTCAATAAGGTCTAAACTTTCCTTCCTCAAAGCCCAAATCCTTTTCATGATCGAA